GGCACCTCCCGCCCCCCGCCTCCCCCGCTGCCTACGTGCTGCTCGGGGCTGTTTGCTGTGCAAAGGAAAAGGAGGGGACAAAGCAGGTGCTGCTTCCTAAGGAAAGTTAACAACGTCTATTACTATTTTCCAAACGTTAATCCCTTGCTTGGATTTCAGTCACTTAAAGCTGCGCCTTCCAACCCCTGAAAAAACACGTTAGAATAACGTCACCTGGCTGCAGTGTACAACGGGGGGTGATTCGGAGCAGGTAATTCATTTACGATCAACCTCACGTACCCAGGCTTTGATAGACCCATCTCAGGCTAAAAGCATCATGCTGTGGACCACAACAGCTACAGAGGGCTTGGACGTGGCCAAAGAGACAAACTGCGCGGTCCCTCAGTCAGCAGGCAAACCTTCAAAACTGCTTGCTTACTCCCTGCTCTCTTGTAACCCAGGAAGAACTCAGGACTTGAAAAAAGTTTTATCTGATGGCACTAAATTACTTTAGATGCCTTTAAAATGCATTCAGCAAATTCTGGTTATGCCTGTCCAGTGGGACTATAAGATAACAAGGAACTCAGCAATGTATGAAAAGTTGAAAAATTCCGTGGGATTCCTGATAGCATTACTCGTAATGGACGAGTGCCTCTCTGAGAAACACGTCAGGCATTTTTCACCTATGATCAAATCAAGGAGAGCTGCCCAGATTATTCCTAAAAACTTCCCTGAAAGAAACAGGCTATCTGATAAATCAATAAAAGCTTTACAGAATAGGATCTATACTATCCTATTAGATGTAAAGCTTCGTCTGTTCCAAACTTACCCTGCCAACATCAACACCGAGCTGCTGTTCCGTGGGAATTGCATCGGACAGATCTCCTATGCCCTAAGGAGCGCAGTCAGTGCCACAGCAGAATGAGCTTCTGCACATCCATCAGCAGAGAAGCGTTCGTTAAGGTGATCTTTTTTTTGTTTAAGGATCAGAAGGATCCCTGGGCTGCTGCGTACTGGAAGCACAAGATCTCTGAGTGGCGATAACGAAAGTCGCCGACAGTGAAGGTGCCAACGAGAACGGCTTGATTAAAACTATCACAAAAAACAAGTAACTGAGCCATTTTGGTCCAAGCAGGCGAGGAAGATTTACCAGACCTTTGCAATACTCGCTTAGTCCTGACTTGGTGCAACCCACTCATTGGGGGAATTCCCCCATTTTACATCTTCAGAGATTGTTACTAGCTGAAGAGAATGATAAAAAGCCATTTGCCTATTAAAAAATAATGGAAAAAAGATTGTGCCCTGCATAAACAACTGTAAACAGAATTTGTTAGGTAGGAAATGAATAAATTCAGTATGGAAGCAACTAGTTATGTGATATAATCTAAATTATTGAGATTCCGAAAGTAAAATTATATTTGCATAACTGATTTCTCACTCAGAAAGACCCAAACCACTTTATAAGCTGCTGTGCAAATTGTATGAAGCAATTTTGCCTCCCACTGAGCAGAACTGCTCTCTAGCATTGAACAAGCCCTTAGCAAACAGCTCCTTCTTGTTCCAGACAAGAACATCCACCAGACAGTTTGCCATGGGAAAAGAAGTCATCGTGTGCTTGTTGAATTGCCGCAGCCATCAGCAATTCCTCCTGCCTTGTCTTGCTCCTCAGGTGGTCTGCTGTCTGGGCGGGCCACCGACCGCAGAGCTGCTGTCCTTTCTGCTCTGTAAGTCATGACCAGGGCTCCCAGAACAATTTCCATCACCACAAAAACTCAGTCCCAAATGATTTGTGATGTGGCCGTCCCCATCAACAGAGAGACCACACGGACTTAAAATTATGCCGCCTTTTCGGAGATGCCCACCTCACCAGGGTGCTAGAGGGACGACGCATCTGATCTAGGGCCAACTTCGTCACCAGTCCCAGCGCCACCTCCTGTGTTTCACGTGGCAGTGGATGGATCTCCTTGACTCATCCCATCCATTCCCAGCTACAACTCGCTATGGAGCCACCCACCCATCTGCGGCCACAGCAAGAGGCAATCTGGGAGAGAGAGAGATTTATTTGTTTCCTCTGGGAAAGCTGCCTTAAATGTGAACTCCTTGACTTGCAGGGATTTGCACGTGCAATGTGAAGAACTTCTCGAGTATCACGTATCTCAACCCACAAATGAATGCCACGATGCTTAGGTCACCCGGTCCCTTTGATGCTCAAAGACAAGATGACTTAGGAAGAATATGATTTATTTTGAATGTTGGTGGAATTCAAAAAAAGTTGAATATTCTCACACCAAATAATTGTTGTGGGAAGAGAAAGAGCTGTGACTAAGTTTTAAATTATGAGTCGGATCTGTTCAGCCTTTGTAAAATACAACTGCTTTTTTTTTTTTTTACATGTAGCATGCAAACAAAGTTTGTGCCCTTCTGGAAATACACACTCAGACTTCAACAGATGACAAAAACCAAAGACAGGAGGGGGCCGAAGCAGGCGTGCAGTTGGGTAGAAGAGATTTTCCCCAAAGGTAAATCCTTCCTGGCATTATCTGCATATGAACATCATCTGCCTTGCTGCTGAATCACAGGCTTGAAGTAATGACAAATAATCCAGGGGTTATAGAATATGAAAATACAGTAGTTAGAAAATTCCTGTGAGCAATGGCAGGCACCAGTGACTTATTTACACTGAACCTTCTAAACCAAGCGATGCACAGAAATCTGACCAGCCACGGAGAAAAAGCAAGCAAAGACGCTGTGCGGCCGTGACACTCACAGCACCTAAAAGCCTAATCCATTTAAGGATTAAAAATGAACCAAGTGTGCAGAGGAGGGGTGAATGCACAGCCAGATTAGTACATTCAATTCCAATAGCTGAAACCTAATTACAGGGCCGTATGAACTTCACTGAGATATTTCCCACCCCTCTCGGCACCAAGTCCTAAACACAGAAACGCTGACTTTCAAACAGCTTCCAACCAGCTTGCCCACAGGTCAGCCAGCGTGGATCTGCTGGCCAAGGGCAAAGTAACTTAGCTGCTAAGACACAACTGCTATAAAAATAAATCAGTTTCCAATCTAATTTTATTAATCACAGTGATGCAAACTCTTGTGCCCCCATCTCATGGGGCCTGATGATGCCCCAACTTCTCACAACTCCCTCTCCAGGCTGCTGACAAGAACATCATGCCTTCATTTCACTATGTACTATTTAATACCACACCTTGTGCAGTATTTTTTCAGCCTGAAGAATTTTGTCGGGCTCAGATCAAGGAAGGGCATAACCGGGGCAATGAGGCCCAGAGGGGCAGGGGGAGCCGGCAGCCAGGCAATGCCCGCCGGGGATCGCCTTGGCCCTGCAGCACGCCCTGCCACGGCAGCTGATGGGAACATGAAACAGCGAACAGCCACGGGGAGAGCCAGTCCCTGCAAGGCCCCCCGGGAGACATCCCTGTTCGTGACAGCTGAAATGTCCTCAACAACTCTTTTTTTAATCTGTTGATTAGAGCTCCTTGCCTTGCGGCTTCCGCAGCACCAGTGCTGCAGCCCTGGCTGACTGCATGGCAGTCGATTCTGTACCAATGGTGAGCAGATGCATTGCATTAAGCCACTCGCAGCAGCTTTTCCATCCTCTGGCCACCGAAGGGAGGCGGCCGGCATTCTCGGGCACTGCTGACCCACCGGCATTCGCTGCAAACGGGGATGTGGGGCTCAGGTCCTTGCCAGCCCCCACCGTCGCAATGCAGCGATTTTCCACTCCATTCACATCCTAACACTTGCAACTGCCTGTTCAGACACCCCCAAATTCGTTTTTTTATCAGGCTGAGAATCTCGAGATTTTGTATTTTCTATGTATCTGCCGTGCTCCCTTCTAGGGCTGCAGAGAGGAAGAGGGACATGAGTGGACACCCCCCCACACCGCTTCCATCTCGCTGTTCAACAGCTAACGCCAGTATGGTTTTGCTTTCAGTAAAAAGCATTTAAAAATCCCTCTCCTCAGTCTGCTTCCGCAGACCTGATGCTCCAGGGCTGGGGATTTCTTTTTTTCCTCCTGAAGAGGACCTCTGATTTGCTCCCTGGGCTCCCCTGCAATGCGCAGCCCGGTCCTCACAGCCCCGCTTTGCGCTGCTGGGAGGGTAGGAGGAGTGAGCGGGGAGGGGGGCTCTCCGAGGGGAGGAGGTACAACTTTAGAAGTCTCCATAGTCTTTTCCTTTCAGGAAACACATCCTGTTAATGTTTGACTGCTGTGGCAGTGGCTCTGTTTGTTGCAGTTCGACTACGCCCTGAGGCTCACCAAAAACAGCCACAAAAACAGCCATTTCCTCTTCACGAAGAGGTGGGGGGGCCTTTTCCTCACGGCAGTGGCTGTGCTCCCGTCCCTGAGCTCGCAGCGCCGATCTTCAGACAGGGACACGGCAGAGCAAACTCCCGGAGACGCTCCAAACGTGCAGAGCTCCTCTGGGATGACCGCATTCCCCTCCAGTTCAGCTTGGCTTTGAGAGAATGACATTTGTCACGCTTTGTGGGATATTCTGAAGTCTACACCCGAAAAAAAGGCTCTTGGAGCGGCGCTGGTCGACTGGGAGGACGCGGTGCGCTTGGCACGCGGCTGGCGAGCATCCCCGCCTCCGGCCCCGCAGCAGCTCAGGCTCTCCTGCCCCGAGACTGGATTCTTTCTGGATTCTCCTCATCTCACAAGGAATGGACCTCCCTGTTGTTCAGTTCATCACAGGACTGGCATTACTTATCAAGGTGCAAGAAGGTGGATAAGCCAAAGCTGGGAAGGACCTAAAAAAGCTTCTTTGTGTTCTCATTTTATGGAATTCTCCTACCTACCTCGCAAAATTCTCATTTCCTTGATCGGAAACACCTCTGGAGTTGACTTTGAGAATGAACGGTGATGTTCTCTAGCCATTCGTAACATCCTAGTGAAGCTGCCTCTGTTGCAAGTCCAATTTCAATGTGCTGCAGCTGATTGAGACCTCCTGTCTTCTGCAAATAAGAGACTGGCAGCAGGCTGACAGTCAGATATGACTGTCCAGAAACTGGTAGCTACAGCTGTGTTGGTAGCCCTGGTCTCACTTATTCTTAACAACGCGGCTGCCTTTACTCCCAACTGGGTGTACCAGACCCTGGAGGACGGGCGTAAGCGCAGCGTGGGGCTCTGGAAGATGTGCTGGCTGGCAGAGAAGAGCAGAGGAGGTGCAAGCACAAGTGCCAGGCACGGGCAAGGGGAGGAGCGGGAGTGTGAAGCCCTGGGCTGGGGTTCAGAGGCGGCTGGGTTCCAGGAGTCGCGCAGTACTGTCAAACGTAAGTTCAATCTCTTCTCTTCTCTGCTTACGCTAGGTCACGATTGATACGGTGCGCCTGGTCCCCAGGAGATTTGTAGCCTAGCAGAGCATCCCGAAATCATTCTTAACCATCTGACTCTAAACATCTCTTAACATTCATCCCCAAATAAATTAATTTGGGAAAATAAGAATAATTATGTCCACCAGTGATGAACTAAACTCCTCCTCCCTCCCCAAAAGCAGCGGTGTACATAGCGCTGTCTGGTTTATACAGCGTATGGAATGATGTACTTTGAAAAAATAATCTGTGAAGTCCAAGTCTAAAGCTTTGAGACATCGGCTGCTTGCTTTTCCCTCTTGGGTTCCTGCTCTAAGCATATCCCTTCCTGCCCCGTACGTTAAACACAAACACATTTGCTCTGAATACCATAAAAAAAAAGCATTCGGATGCCATGCTGAGTTACTTCTCCCTTCTGTTTACTTCTGTTGGAAGTGCCAGGAGAGCAGAAAAGATAGAAATGGTTTTGGTAAAAACATATAAAATTGAGATAGGCCTTAATGTACGCAGTTATTCTTCTTGCTGAAAAACCACCATTAGTATAGTACTTGGGGAACAGGAAAATCCTTAAGCATGGGGTATTTCTCATTCTGCAAATTTGCAGACTCATGGGATCTGAAGAACGCACATTGCTCAAACTGAGCTAGTTAGAATTGTTTGATAAGATGAAACGTTGAGAATGATAAAGCTGAATAATAAAGTAGTGCACCTTGCTTATCACATTCCCAATGTTAACGGCGCAACCCTGCTTTCAGTAAGAAACTAGAGCAGAACTGTGCTCAGAATCCCCGTGGTCACCTCGGATGCCATGGCTGTGACCACAACAGACCATGGTGCCAAGAGGTTTGCTCTGCTGGAAGCCTCTTTGGGGCAGCTCCTGCAGCCAGATCAGTGCTTTAACTGCAGCCCTCGAGGAACTGAGTTAACAGAACAAATGTCTGTGAAGTTCAGGCCCTGGCAGACACTAGGGTTTTGCAGAGATTTCAACAGTGCTCACGGACGGCTCTGGTGCCTCTGAAGGATGGTAGCATCGGAGACACGCGTGATTTCAGACAGATTCTTTTGCATGGTTTGAAATGCGGAGAAAGAGCAAAAAGCTCTGCTCCTCCTCAGCGTCTCTCAAAGCCCTCTGGAGACAAAACCAAAGAAATATGAGAGGAATTTATTATTTAAAAGTGCTCTAATGCAGACCCACCCCAGATGATGTTTACTAGCAAAATTGTGCAGTAACATTTTTTGCGCATTTGCTAATATTAAACCTGCATAAATCACAAACATAAAGTTCTAAACCGTTACAGAACCCTAAACCTAACTTCCGATTCTTTTTTAACTGAAAGAAGTTCTGTAATGACAAATAATTATAAAAAGGATTAGACCACTGAAAAAGCTCCTTGATGTGTGTCTGCAACTTCATCACAGCAATCGCTGCCCCAATTAATATTTATGAGCCATGTGCTAACCTGAAAAGCATGCGTGCCATTCACGAATCTTCAAAGTACGCGTTCTACATTCAACAGCTAAAATGAGCTCCCGCATATTGACTTTGGCTCCTGCAGCAGTTTGAACACAAACTTGTATTTCTTGCTGTGCACGGGTCGCAAGATGGGTGGTGCTATAAAGATCGGCACAGATGTTTCAGAGCAGATTTGTATGGGCAGCGGTTTCTTGTGTCAAAGAGAAGCAAAATGTGATAGAAAATTTTAAAATTTCAAAGCAGTAATTCTAGCATGACCAAGTGCCCAGAAGAATTCTCTAACAAACACTCTTAACTCTAATTTAAAGGAGGACTTTGAAGCCCAATGACTCAATTTGTATAGGAATAGAGCATCCACTCACCTTTTAATCTGGAAGCAAACAGCAAGCAAAAGGCCAATTCTGAGTCTTTATAAAGCATTTAAAATAAAATCTCACGTCCACAGCTGTGCCATGACAAACTAAGGAGGAAACAAATCTGTTGCACATACTTTTAAGACAAATATGTTTCCATGGATTGTACACAGTCCGTATGAGCCTGATTCTGCATCCATGTTTTTGTCATTTTAAGAATTTCCCTAATACGAAACCATGCCTTATGTTAGTAATATACATGGCAATCCTCACCAGTCAGTTGTAGATAAATCACAAACATGTATGCATCTGTATGTATAGACATGCATATAAAAACTAGCTTTCTGAACAAAGAAATCCCTTCCTCAAATCACAAGAACTAGCAGGCAGTATTTTGGGTGCCATTTGTAGAACAATAAATAGAAAATACATTCTTCCAACAGCAATGCAAAAAAGGCCGCAATCTTGCTCCTATAAAAAAAGATAATTTATACACTCGCACTCACACTTGGTTGGGCAGTTATTTATCTCACAGTCCAACAGCAAAACAGTAAAACCTTTGAGAATTTGCTTTTCCTATGCCGATGACCCCTGTGCAAGCAGTACGTAAATAGCAGCCAAGTAAACGCTCTGCTGGAAGCAGGCTCGCTCGCTGGCAGAGGGGGGCACGTTCTCAAAGCCTATCTTTCACTGACCTCCCACTGAAATCACTGGCAGAGCTCCTTTTCAGGGGGCACAGTAAAGCTGGGGTGGGGTTTTTTCCCCTCATCATGTACAGAGCTCAAGCAAAATTATTTGCAAGAAAAAATACGGAAGTAGCTCATTGTGTCGGGACTTGCACGTGCTTAAACTAAATTACGGCAAATTGAATCAAATAATAATTGAAGTTTTGCATATTCTGGGTAAGAGTCAGTACACGATCTGTCAAAAGATCACACAGGGAACGGGCAGAACAAGTCAATGTGATGGAGCATACCTGCCAAAATCCTCTCTGGAAGTGCAAAGTCAAATTCCACACCAGATACTTCTCTCATCCCATTCCCCACTAACAGGACATCCGTGTGAATTATTTCACCGTAACAGAAACCACTGCAGCAAGAGGAACACTAAGGTGCTTTGCATTCAAATCCTACAATGTAAACACTGCATGGAGGATGCTGAACTGTCAGTAAAGGAAGGCTGGTATAAACACTAAGTAACATAAAAGACGGGGGGGATTACAGATGCTGCAGCAAAGAAACGCCGTGAGAAAAAAAGATGAGAAATGGGAAAAAAAAGAAATCTGTGGACAGGAGTAAATGATATTAAAAATATTATATGGAAACAAAGCATCTCAATGGGGACTATTTCAACAAGGCACGACACGAGAAACAGGGATGACTTTGGTCCTAGGGGAAAGCACCTCCACTCAGGCTCACGCCTCACTGCCTCTGGAAGGGGGAGGTCTCGGGCCCTTCCATCCGTCTGTATCCCGTTCTTTCCTCACTGCGCACCCTTCTTTAGACCAGCGGTGATGCTATGAAGCTCTGTGAGACAGCCCAAATGAGCAACAGCAAAAGATTTCCCGGGTTTGGAGGGGAAGGCTGGGCGGGAGGGATTTTTCTGTCGGATGAAGTGGAGGTATCAGGAGCCCAGCACGTAGCGCTTCTAGCACAAGCAGAGTGATGCAAGTGTGGTGAGGGGCGAGAGAACCCCCTTTTAGTGGCAACCAGCCAGCAGATCTGGGATCTTTGCTTGTGCCGAGAATCAGACCTAGTTATGTCTGATATAAAACACCAATCAAAGTTTTTCTAACGTGGACAAACCACTAGACAATACAAACTTAAAGGCTTCACCGAGAGCTCGGATGGCACAGCCCCCCTTCAAAACGCTTTAAGGAAACCTACCCAGGCAGCCCAACTCTCCTGTCATCTGAGTGAGGGCAAAGCAATTTGCCAAAGGGCAAATTTGCTCTTGCCTGCAGCTCTTAACCTTTCAGAAAAAGACCACAGGTAGCAGAAGCATACACTTAGCATGACCTTGGGTAGGACAGCGTGCCTTGAGCACTCGATACTCAGCTTTGTGCCCACGTAATACGTGAGCCGACACAGCGCACCGAGCGAGGCAGCACCCCGCAGGGACACGCAAGCTGCCTTGAGTGGTGAGAACACCAGTGACGACCCCTCAGAGCAAACCAGACCCACTCAAAGCCACCGTTGCCTACGTCCTGGCCTCACGCCAGGCCAGTAATACAGCATGGTACCGTGTGAACACGCCAGAATACTCGGAATCAGCGCAGATATTTTTAACCACACTGCGCAGGACAAATATGCCCTTAAGTCCTACTGTGCTACAAGGCTATCTGTGGGTGGACAGATGGAGCTGATTTATTCATTAGCCAAGGTCACAGTCTGTCTCTTTTTGTCTAAAGAACATTATGAACAGTGTGGAAACGCAGGAATAGGGAGGGGTTTAAAAAGATGTAAAAACCTCGCTCGGTTCTTTGGGGCTCCAGAAGACAAGGAAAATCCCAACAGTGGGAAGCACGTGTCAGCTGCAGTTGCCCGGAGCAAGATCGCTCCCGTTAGCTGTAGCTTTCACAAGGACACATAACCGGTGCCAGGGAGAGGCCCCCTACCGTGGGGGACCCCGTGACCGCCACAGGGGCCAGCGGTGAACGCCTGCCCAGCCCCAGCCTACCACTTGCGCTGTGAGCTCGGCGGCTAAGGCAGGGCGCTGCTCGGTGCGGGACTGAGGAGCTGACGTGTGCTCGCAGAGGCAAGAGGTCACCTGAGTGCCCACGTCCGTGGTATTTACACCAATTTCCAATGGCCACGGATTTCTCTGAGATCTGGCTGGAGGGAAGCAGGGCCGAGTCGAGCAGCTGAGCATGTTGCAGCCGTATGTTGCTTTTCCCAATAAATACAGATCAAGAAAGGAGGCCCACTGCATTTAGAAAAGACAGAACTACCATCCAATTAAAAACAGCCCAGCACCTCGTTATGTACCTGGCTGCCTGGTAAACTGCTCCGGCTCTTACACAGGGGTGGAGGCAGAGCAGGCAGCTGCAGCTTGGGGCTTGCCATTTCCCCTCCTGACATCTGCAACGTGGTCAATATTTAAATAAGTAAAATTACTGATTTAATGGCAAAGGC